GAGGAAGCAAGGTGTTCAAAACATCAATATAGGCCTGTGCCATGATTGTGCCACACAAAACAACAAGGGGTGCAATGAAACACACGAACATACCATAACACAATTTTTGGACGTGTCTGGATACTTTTGATCTCCTAGTGTATGTTAAGCCAGCTTTGCAAGAAGCAGTTCCTTTGCGTGTGACGAGAGCGCAGTACATTTAATAACGATCATTCACATAATTTGTGAGCATTTTGAGCCAGTGATCGTGAAGAACATTGCTGCTGTTATTCATGAAGTAATGGATAGGTCTGAGTACTTGAATTGAAAGCCTCGAAGTCGAAAAATTCTATGTTTGTAATGCCGACCTCCGTATATTTGCATGAAGTAGCATGAATGACCTCCGTATATTTGCATGAACCGAGGAATGATCGACGAGTAGCGCGCCAGCGGTGAGTATCGGAACTTTTAGCAATATCAGGAAGGAGCGTGGTTACGAGGGAAATACGAAAACCGATGAATGATGCTACTTTTTCTCTTATGGAGCGAACTCTTGAGAGTGAAATATGAAAGGGAATTATGGGAGGAAATATGAAAAGACAAAACGAGTCAAGTTAACATCAGTAAATGTTCACAGGTTTTAAGTGGTTCTAATGGTTCTGATTCGTTTTCTCGCTGCTGGATTAGAAATCTTTTAAAATGCCCTTGGGGCACAAATAAGTATTATCTGACAGTATTCAACAACATATGTTTTCAAAACTTCTCATGAGATATCATTTTCTTATTCTATAATTAAAAAGGAGTTAAATACGAAAGGTAGGATGCATTTCCAATTTTAAAATCATTTAAAATACACATTAACGTCATTATTATTACAATATATTTGTCATTTCGTGTCAATAACTTCGTTATTAGAACTGTGATTGGTTCAAATAGTTCTAATTCATCATATATTTTATTTTCAGACTGTTTCATCAACTATTTCCATGACGCGGAAACAGCCTAATTTAAGGAGTGTTATTAAGATATTAATACTGAACAATTTTACCATCCCTAGAAAACTTTCAATTTTAAAAGAATAACTAATTACTATTGAAAAACTGAAATTAACAGATTGAAAATATTCATCTACTGAATTCCAAGTTATTTACTCTTTAAAACGGTAGAAGTCATGTCAGGTTAGGGGAAAAGTTTTTAGGTCGAAGAAAATTACGTATAAAATAAAATACGGACATAAACCTATATCGTGTTCAAACTTTTTCAATGTAACTTAGTAATATAATTATTTCGGTTTAGCATAACTTTTACTTCATGCATGTGTTGGGAAGTTTCTCTACAAATTATCCGCGGCAAAACTATTTTCCTTATTGCCAGTCTAGTCTATGGGCGTGTACGAGTATTAGATAAAGATCAATGCAAGTTATCCAGAGAAAGATAACGCTCCTTCAACAGATGATGTATAGAAAATCATGTATATATAAATAAATATCAATTCAACTTTCAAAATCAAAAAATAATCCAAAACCATTTAGAAATTGAGTGTATTAATACATAATGTTGCCTGAATAATCAAGAAACAGGGAGAACGAATATGAAGATTTGCGTTTTCTCTAGCCGTAATGCAGATTCGTTGCCCAAAAAAGGCGTATCATTTTATAAATTCTGTCGACATGAGTGGTGAATCTATTAATAAAATTTTAACCACTTACGTAAATCCGTCATATTTCATAAATACTAATCATTGCAACAAAGGTCACTATCATAATATCATTACATTATTCGGAATGAAAAGTTGTCTCAATCATAAACATTTCTTTTGACTTATCACAAGAGTCCTGTTGAAAAACATTTAACAAAACAAACCACAAGTGTAAATGTTGACTAGTGGTGCTAAACCAGCACTTGCGTTCCTAAAAATATATCTATCTTTAATATTTTAGTTGTAAGATTACTCTGAAAAACTTTTGAACTTTTGCAATTTTTGATAAAATCAGGCTTTTTAAGGAACATGACACCTACACCATTCTCTTAAATGTTCTTTACAGTATCCAATAAATTTTAATAAAAAACAATAGTGTTGTTTT